TGAAGCCAACATGTCTGGCTCTCCGGATGCAGCCACTGGATCTGCATTGCATGTGGCTTTGTCTTGTTGCAAACAACAACAACAACAACAACAACCACCTACATACTTAAAATTTTAAGTTTTGCAACGGATTTAGTTACTAAGGCAACCATGATAGTTTTTTTTTGGTGTGAATTAGCCATTTTAACGATAGTGCTTACTAGAACTCATCATATTTTGTCGCTGCAGCCCTTACGTGGCTAACCCAAGATGCTTGTGATTGGTTAAAGTAATGCAAACAAGCCTAAATAGAATGACAGTGAGCTGCATTCAGACCAATGCAAGACTAACTCAGACGAAATCTACTTTCTTGCTGACAGTCAGCAGGGTTCTAAAAACAAGTCTAGAAGTCAACGACAAAATAACCCTACGTCTCACCTGATTTGCTACCTCAGTAAACATTTTCCATTTTATTTTATAGTCTCAATCGCTAGTTTCAAGCAGCGGTCCCCAACCACCGGGCTGCGGACCGGTACCGGGCTGTGGGTCATTTGCCGCACAGAAAGAATAAAAATGTTTGGTTTTTTTTGTTTTTATTTCCAGCGGAGTCTGCAGGGTGTTTTATTTTGAAAAATGACGAACTCGTCTTCCCATCACTTCCGTCTGTGCTTGTTTCTTGACCGTCAGTTTTTTTGCTCGGCCGTTAAATGAAGCCGTCAGTCTAACCGCTGCCGAAATGTATTAAAAAAAAGCCAAACGTCTCCAGAGAGCTTCTGTGGAAAGTGGGAACATAAACACACATTTAGCAAGTAATTTTATTCGTTTACGAAATTTTTTAATAGAAAAAAAAGATTATTTTTGCTATGTGCACAATGGCCGGTCCGTAGTGCAAAACAGGCTGGGGACCGCTGGTTTAAAGCCTCCGTCAGTACGTGATGATGTGCCATGATGATGCTAATTTGCAAAAAGAACATTGAAGGAGGCTGTAAACTAGCGATTCAGACCATTAAGTTGTTAGGTAAATGTTTACTGAATTAGTAAATCAAATGAGAAGTAGGCTCATTTTCTCATGAACTTCTATACAATTTTTTTGCAAGCAGGAGTCGCCCCCTGCTGGTCAGACCCAGAAGCAATGTTCATCTTTTACATACAGTCTATGATTAGAAGCTACTGTACAAAACATGTCTGAATTTGTGCTAACGGCTTCATCTTCTTGTCTCATCTCCAGACACCAGTTGCTCTTCTGTTGCTCAGTAAATGTTTGCTAAACCTCAGAATTTTTTT